AGCTAAACCCACCTCTTTGAAGGTGAGATTAATGTGAAGAACCATGAAGGCTCTGGATTAATAGGTGGAAAATCTGGAAAGTCTGGAAGAAAAATGGATGTACTATAGAAGTCACTTATTTAGGGGCTGAAATGAGAACATGGGGGCTCTTGCGTTCGACATTTCCTTAAAAGGATTGAGATAATGATTTTTATTTTGCTACTTCAAATAAGTAAGAGGGAACAGTGTGTTTGAAAGAGAAATTGCTGGTCCCAAAAATTTGGCAAGCTCTTAAAGCTTTGGCCTAAACAAGCAACTTGAGTGGTCTGTGAACACAGAGAGGAAAAAAAGAAAGACGTAAGAAGGTATTGTTTTAACAATTGTGTTGCCATATCAAGAGAATGAACACAGCTGCCTCAAACTTGTCTTTGCATGCCCAAGTAATATGTCAATTACCTCGTTCCCCCATAAATGCCTACAGTCCTCCAAAAGGCATGTTAAAACAGACATAGTCATTAAAGCTTGCACTGCATTTTCTAATGTGTTGCTGGGAAAACAAACAAACAAACAAATAAAACCTCAAGCCTTTTGTCTTTTAGCTAGATCCAAGTTGGGGAAATGTTAGGCAGAAACAGTTAAGAAACTGTATAATTGGAAAGAAAGTGTGTTTTAATGTCAAAACAGGAAAAACCCCAAACAGAATTTGAAACTTCTTTATGTTGGATCAGGTAAAAGAGTTTGGTCACCTTTACATTTTCATTTCAAGTGCAGCCCATTTAATTTCACCTTTCATTTTGGACTCTTTCTTTCTCTGTGTGAGAAACTTGTGGTCCAGGCTGTAAAATAACAAAGGACTTTGTAGGAGGGATGAAAAGGATCAAAAGAAGGAAAAAGAAGCCTCTTTCTGAATGTTTCTGTGGATCATAACTAGCTGTAGGAGTCAGAAATCTGCATGAAATTGAAACCACTCCTTCTGAGAAAGGCATATTCCCTCTGCTCTGGGTTACAACTTATGCAAAGACTGTCACCCCATTCATGCTGCTGCTGCTGGCTGCTCATCTGGCTTCCCTTCCCTGTCCTCAAAGCATTTCACTTGTGTTTATAGTGCCTTCAAAAGGGAAGCAGTGCAGAGAAGAAAGTAAAACTAGCCTGGTAGGTCTGAGGTGTTGCGAGCTGATTGGTACATGGGGAGTGTCCTGCTGGCTCCAGACATGTGGGACAAAACCACTTTGTTGGTCACAAGGAGAACCAGCCGGTGTCCTGCTTCCCGGTGTGATGACAGACATCACCGCAGCCCTGGGCACCACAGGCTCACAAGAAAGCTGTGCTTGGAGTGTGAGAGCAGAGCAGAGCACAAAAAGGAGGTGTTTGCGTCTCCATCTCACACAGTGAGACAGGTGGTCACGAAAACAGCACTTGGTAAGCTCAGGAGTACTCAGGATAGCGCCGAGGAGCACCAAACCCACTGTTCAGGCACTCTGAGTGGGGAAAACTCTGCCCAAATCTCTTTTGCCTGGTTTGGTGAGAGAATTTAAACCCAGCTCCTTCATGTCCCCAAGTGTTCCTCTGGAAACTGCAGTTAAGGGGCTAAATTGAAACAGCTCCCAGAGAAGAAGCTTTGACCAAGTTGTTGCCAAACCTTACTCTAAGCTGGACAGGACAGAGGCTGAACAAGACCTCCAAGAGAGCACTTTATACCCCAGACTTTGGCTGCTGTTTCCAAGTCCCATTGCTGTACTTTGCTGCAGGGTGGAGTTTCCAGACAATCCTGAGCACAGACATATCTTGAAAGCCAAAACCTGGACCTGGCTTTGACAAGGTCCTTTTTTTTTCCCCCCCATATTTGCATTGTGGTTGTCTCAGTCGCTCCCTCCTCAGCTGGTTCCTGAGGGTTCCAGATCTGCCAGTTCACTGCATGAGGAACTGGACTCCATGCATGGCATGCAGTGGATTCCTCCACTCAGCACTGTGGCAAAGGATTGCAGCACTGAAAATAGAAAGCCTTTCTCCAAGTGAGCTGTGTAGAGTCCTGCAGGAAGCCTGGAACCAAACCTTGGCCAACAGAGCCTTTGTTCAGGACTTTGACCACAAACCCATCTTTTCTGTAAGGACATTTTTAAAATTCCATGCTGTTTTTTTGTCCACATCATGAAAACCACTGTACAATTGGCAGTGTCTGCTCAGGAGAGACCTGGGATAGGCAGGAGGCAGCCAACTGGTGAAAATGTACATTGTAGCCTGCTGAGTGTCTGCCTGCCTTACACTTTCATCTGTTGAACTCCTTTCATGGGTAGAAAATCCTCCCCCAAACATAATTGCACTGAATTGGACACAGTGCTTTTATTACACTGCAGTATTTGTTACCATATTGGGGTACCTGCGTAGCAACAACAGTCCAGAGAGTATTTCCAAATGCCTAAGTGTACACTGACCCAAGCAGGCTTTAAGAGGTGGTCATAGTTTAAAAATTGTGGATTGTGCAGATGCAAAAGGAAAAATAAACAAGATCTTGGCACAAGAAGGAGAGAAGCACTGAGGTTAGAAAAGACCAGAGGAAACAACAGTTGCCAGAGGGAGATTTTGCCTCCTGTCACGTACTCTCATTTCAGACAATATTTCATATTTGAGAAACAGCAGCATTAGGCTTCCAATGCCAATGGTTTAGTTTGAATTCGATTCAAATTTCAGTTAATTTTTCTGTTGTGAAATGAGTTGACCACCAGAGCTCTCAGGTTCTTGCACTCTTCCACTATTAAACACAGTAAATTGTAGTAACAACTATTACCCTGTGTCACAGAGCCCTGTGTCTGCATGGCATTTAAGACCTCATGGCATTCCTCTGTCAACTCAACACTCCACAGTGATGCTGTAAGCAAGACAGGATTTTTGGTCAAATATTGATAGACTAGAATGTACCCTTCATTATAGCTCAAATTCTGAACCAATGAGTGTTAATTCCCTACATGTAGGGGGCTGTGCAACGAAGCAAAAGCCCAGGAAAGCCAGTGCTGAGGGCTGTTTGTGACATCACCTGTGATGTGAGCTGCCAGCAGCAGAGAGATAAATGGAGCTTCTCTTTACCACCCTCTGCCTGCCCTGGTGAGGCCCTGCTCAGAAATGGTGAGTGTTCTTGGGAGGTAAGATGCCTTAATTAAATCCCTGATTTCTTCCCACCGAAGTCAGAAGTTCTGCCAGTTGGTATGGCCGGGGATGCATTTGTATCTTGAGAGTAAAAGCCTACAGAGCCCATCGCGGTGACTCCTGACTCATCAGCAAACAGATCCGAAGCCACAGGCAGGAGCACCTCTCACATCTTCACTCCAGCTCGTTCTGCTGCCGAGACGCTGCCGCTGTCCTCGCCGCGCTGTTTGCTGACTCATCAGCTTGTGCATTTGCCCTAATTAGTCATATGCAAACACCATTGTGTTCAGGAAGTTCTCTAACGTAAGCGTGAGTGTGAACTTAGAGCAGCAATAAAGGTCAAGAAAAGTGACTAAGGTATCATATACTGTAATAAGTTTCTGTTATCAGCCACTGGGAAAGCGGGAAAGAAAGTGTATATGCAGACTTTTAGAGGAGTGATGCAAAAGTTTAATAAAGGGAAGGATGTGTGTGAGGGAGAGCATTTGTTTAACATCTCTCAAGAGCTGCTACAGTATGAAATGCTTAATTGCAGAACAAGCTTCCACTAACACCCATCTGAAACACAGCTGGGTTTTGAAGCATTATTCTTTATTATGAGCTCGGGGTAAGCATGTTTGGCATGAAAGAAATGTGTCTTGTAAGGAGACCACAACACTTACTCACAGCTCCCCAGACAGCTCATGCTGGGAAGTCTTGATATCTTTGAACAATCATTTGAGCAGCATTAGGAAAGCATAGACTGGGATTTTTCTCCAGTGATTTTTACTCAGGGGTCACTAGCACATCTCAAGCTGTTGTGTCCAAGTGATTTAAAGTGAGCAGAACCTTAAGAATACTCAGCGAGAAACCCTTTTGATGTATTGCACATTATATGAATTTGGATAGTGGTAATAAAGGTGCACAAGTGAATCCTGAGACATCCGTGCTTATAGGCACTAAAATTGCCATTCAAAGAGTGACAAGATTGAAAATAAAATCTTATTGGGTAGGGTAAGGCGAGTTCTGTGGGTTACAACTGGGCAGTCCCTGGTCCAGACCGCATTAAGTGCCTCTTGGTCTTTGAAGGGCACTGAGATTGCAGTCAAAGTACAGAAGAGGCTTTCGCTTTCAAGTGTGCCAGGCTCACCAGGAACCACTTCAACCTCAATCTGAGACATTAGAGAAGCTGCAGTGGCTGTTCTGCGTTGCACCAGCCACCTCTAAGACACAGGAAGTACCTCTGTTATCACCACTGCACTACCAAAACTCCCCGAATACATTCCAGAGGCTCTCATGGGGAAGGTGACACTGAGCTGGCCTTGTCATTTCTGCACCCACCAGGAGATCCCTCTTCATTTAACCAGAAAATTCTCTAGGGGCTGTTATGGTGACTCTGTGAACAGACTAAAAAAAATGCACAGCTGCAGTGCACAACTGAATTTCTTCCTATGTTTGAGCTGCCTAAACCTCATTTTGAAAGATGAAGTTGTCTGTGAGCCCTTGGGGAGGGCTTCTCGGTACTTATGCAAGACAGTTGAGGTTGAGCCTTGCTTAGATTGTTTTTCTTCTCAAGGCCCCAGTGAGCACAGAACAACAGAAATATCAGTAGTTCACAGCCACACTGCCACGGGCTATTGTGTTGTCACAGCTCATAAGCAAAGTAGAGCTGGGCTTTGTCCATGTTTGGATGGAAAACCTTGAAGGAATAAAAGGAGTCAGAAGCACCTGTGCCTCTTCTGCGTATCTGACTGCTGTGGGCAGAAGCAATCCATTTCATACAGGAACTCCTTGTGATTGCTAACAAATGTCACTGCTTTTTATTCTTTTAAATAAGAAAATAAATAACCCCCCCAACACAGAATACCCATGACTGTATGCCAAAAACAACTGCTTGTTACCTGGAAGTTGGGAATCCACAGCAGAAGTGTTAGGAAGGTGCAGTACTGAAACACCATCACTTTGCCCTGCAGGTGTTCCTTATGTCACCACCACACGTGCACACAGCAGCTAAAGAATGCCACTTATGCCTGTCAAAGCTGCTTTTTTTTAAAGGTATCATTACTGCTGAGCTGCAAACTGAGTAGTCTCGTAAGGTTCAGATCCAGATGGTCACTTGAAGTCCTTGCTAGTGGAAGCCCACAAGATGTAAAGGAACCCCTGGGCTCTGTGGGGTCACTCCAGCTGGAACTGTGCCTTTCCTGCCTCCCCAGAGTGCTCACACACGCATGACCCTGAGATAAGGGTACAGAGCTAAGGCTTTTAACTTAAAATGTGTGGGCTCTGCCCCCAGTTTTCCTCTCCTTGCTCCTCCACGGCTGTATCCTGTCCCCTGATCCAAGAGGCCACTTGCCTCTGTGGCAATGTCAGTGCCAGGTGTCACCTGTGCAGCCCCTCCTGCTGAGCCTCCAGGGCCAGCCAGGGTTAGCAGGAGATCCTGGGGCTCTCAGATGAGCAGTGCCTGAGGCCAGGCTTGCCATGAGGGGAGCAGGGAGAGGAAAATTTGATGCATTGGGATGATGGCACTGGATTTGCGCCAGCCTGGGTGGGTAGCAGGGAAGGCAGAGGGGTCACAGTGCCTCGGCACAGCCCTGGTCCAGCCTCCTGGATCTGCTGTTTGGTTTGGTTGGGGTTTGGGAAGTTGTAAAACTTGCTCGAAATGTGCCTAATTACCTACTGGTTCCCCTTCTGGGCTGCCCTGCCGTGGAGCTGACTGTTCCCTTTAATTAATGTGAGGTTCTGAACCCTTTAACTGGAAATGGACTAGAAAACATGTCTTGTGAGAAGTGGCTGTGGGAGCTGGGTTTGCTTCATCTGGAGAAGAGGAGGCTTGGGGGGGCTTCACTGCTGTCCAAAACTCACAGAGAGGAAGCTGTAGGGAAGTCTCTGCTGCCGTGGCTGCAGTGAGAGGACGGGGGGACATGCCCTTAAGGCAAGATTCAGATTAGATACTAGAAAATAAAAATTTCACTGTTAGAGTGGTCAGGCATTGGAATAGGCTTTTCGTGCATGGTGGAATCACCCTCCTTGCAGGTGTTTAAGAGGCGCTGAGGGATGTGGTTTAGGAACTACAGCGCCAGGTGGATGCTTGGACTGGATGATCTTAAAGGTCTCTTCCAACCTTCGTGATTCTGTGAGTCGAAACGTCCTGGGCTTTTATTATACTACGACACCTCGGGCAGAGGCAGCGGACTCAATCATTGAACGAAGTTACGTGAGAAAAGAAAAAAAATACGGAAATAAAGAAAGGACTAACTCCTCGCGCCGTGCCCACGGGGGTGCGATTTGTGGCAGGATCCGCAC